TGTGACACTGAAGACTGGAGTAATGATGTTGAAAATTCAGCTTTGATCACAGGAATAAATTAGATTTTTAAAATGTATAATAAAAATATACACTACCGTTCAAATGTTTGGGATAAGAACGATTTTTTATGTTTTTTAAAGGAGTTTCTTGTGCTCATCAAAGCTGCATTTATTTGATCAAAAATACAGGGAAAAAATGTAATGTGAAATATTATTACGATGTAAAATAAAGTTTTTCTATTTTAATATACATTAAAACATAATTTATTCCTGTGATCAAATCGTGATTCAAAATATCCCACCACAGGACAATCAGCTGAGAGAGGAATGAAAATTAAGACACTAGAGCCCATTCCAATGTTCGTTACAAATCCCACCATCAACTGAGAACTGAACTCTGAAGGAAGTTAATGTAGATGAATCAGGGTTAATACCATATGGATATACATTTAAATGCTCTATCCTTTAAACATGTGGGGTTAGTAAGGAATTAATAGTTTTATTCAGCAAGGATGCATTCATTTGTCTTTCAAAAGTGAAAGCCATTTATAATGTTTCAAAAGATTTCTATTTTATATAAATGGTGCTCCTGTGAACTTTCTATTCATCAAAGAATACTGAAAAAAGTATCAGTTTCCCAAAAAATATTTGGCAGCAAAACTGTTGCCAACATTGATAATTCTAATAATAAATCAGCATATTAGAATGATTTCTGAAGGATCATGTGACACTGAAGACTGGAGTAATGATGCTGAAAATTCAGCTTTGATCACAGGAATAAATTATGTTTTAAAGTATATTAAAATAGAAACCATTATTTTATATTGTAATAACTTTTTGCAAGATTACTGTTTTTTTTTTCTTCTGTATTTTTGATCAAATAAATTTTTTTTTGATGAGCATAAGAGACTTCTTTAAAAAACATTACTAGTCTTACTGATCCCAAACTTTTGACCGGTAGTGTATGTAGAAAACTGAAATGAAATTTTACTATATTACTATTGGTACTTTATTTTTGATCAAATAAATGCAGCCTCGGTGAGCAGAAGAGACAAGAAAACATGCATTAATAAAAACGTCAACCAAGTGCATAAATCTTCAAAGTAAAAAGCGTTAAAGTGTTCCACTTTGTCATAATGTTTCATTAAATGAATTCAATTCCACTGTCTGTCAGTTAAAAATCATAATTCTTTGATTTTAACAGATTAGGAAGAAGCTTCTTCTGAAGCAAGCTGCAATGGACAAGTCAGAAAAGGCCAAGAAGCTGCGAGAACAGAGGAAATATGGCAAAAAGGTCAGTTTTAAAACAGCTGCCAGATTCTCCCAGAGTGATGTTTTTGGGTCTTGACAGACCTGGGTTTAAATCTCTGGCTCTACAGGTTCAAACACAGGTGATTCAGAACAGGCAGAAGCAGAAGAAAGCAATGCTGTCAGCTGTAAAGAAGTATCAGAAAGGTACATTTTCACACGTGTACATCATTAAAGCAAAGTGTTTTCACGTCATCTCAGTTATTTACCAATATTATCCAGGGAAAGTTTTAGATTCCTTATTCGTGGAGCACATTTTCACTCGTCCTCATGTCCCACAGGAATGACAGATAAATTGGACTTCTTGGAAGGAGATCAAGATCAGAGACCGAAAGAATCAGCAGCAAAAAAGCAAGTAAACAAAAAAGGGTAAGCGATGACACTATATATTTTCAGTAGCTTTACAGTACTTCAGCTGTTATTTTTCAACAGGAAGTGCCATAACAATTCCCAGATTCCCTGATTTTAGGTCTTCCTATTTTATGGGGAAATATTTAGTTAAATGCTGTTTTGTAATTGTGTCTAATTGTGTTTAAGTGAATTTGGCTGTATATCCGATTTTTTTTTTTTGTAATTAGTTGACATTTATCTGGTCAAATGTAATGCTGTCAACCTTAACAAGATGTTCAGGGGGTCACCGAAAGAAGTCTACTTGTATTATGAAACTTATGATGGTAGATTTCACAGCTCTGATTGCTATTTTTTTATTCATAATTTTGGCAGCTCCTGAAATGGGTCATATCATTAACATTGCCTGAGCAGCTGAGTTAAATACGCTCATGCGTTTATTGCATTTTATAAAGTTTGTCCCTTTTAATGCCGTTCATCTGTACGAAGAAAACTGTTCGCTGAAACATCCACAACGTTAACAAGAGCATTGCAGAGCGCACAGTGTATCTGTTGATCTAATGCGTGAAAGTTGCGATCATTTCTATAATTACATTACACACACACACACACACGTATACTAATCTAATTTGCAACCTGATTATATGATCAATGATCAGACAGATGTACATGTAAAAAGTATTGCCCTCATAGAAAGCTTTAATGTAATTGGCTTCTTCTTTTGTTGGTAGCTTGTACTGTATTATTTTTTTGAAAGAAGTACCTTGACTGTTTAACTACTTAAAAAGAGATATTTCACCCAAAAATGAAAATTGTTGTTTACTCACCCTCATGTCGCTCCTTCCATTGTTTCTTAAATTTTTTTTGTGTGACAAAATAATATATTTTGGAGAATATTTTAACATATATTGTTATTTTTATTTCTCATTATTTATTGTCATGTTTTTTAGTCCAAATTCTAAGAAGAAATACAAGGATAAGAAGTTTGGCTTTGGGGGAAAGAAGAAGGGCAGCAAATGGAACACCAAAGACAGCCATGATGACGTTTCAGGATTCAAGGCCAGAATGGCTCATGGGAAAGGTGGGAAACATTTCGGCAAAGGAGGCAAGACGAATGTAAGTGTTTTATTTTATTTTTTACATCAGTACTGTTATATTCTAACATTTTAAAGACCTCCCTCACATGTTTTCATCTCT